TTCGAGGGCACTACAGCCCGAGCAATAGGAGGAGGAGGAGGTACACGTGCTGGGTAACTGTACATCCTATCATAATAGTCCCGTTGAAAGTCATAGTCCAAGTCAAAAGAGGAGCCGTACATCTCCGCTGCAGATCGTTTCACACCTGCTTTTCCTCGGTTCACTTTTGGCTCTGCAGCCAGGTTAATATCTAAAACCTGGCCAGCAATCATTCTCCCATTCTCTCCTGCTACAGCAGCCCGGGCATTTCTCTCATTATCATATTGAACGAAGGCAAAGCCCTTATGAACAGAGCAGCCCACAATTTTGCCATACTTCGAAAAGATTGCCTCCACATCAGATTTCTTGACCACAAGAGTGTTGAGATTCCCAATGAACACATGGGAGTTCATGGAGCGAGGATCTGTCTTGTTGGTAACGTTGCTGGCCATTGTGTTTGATGATAAGGTTTCTCACAAAGCTGAAAATGTAGCTGAAGATCAAAAAAATCTCACAGGAGGGGGGAGGGAGAAGAGATTCAATTCTGAGTCTCCTACTCCCGGATTCTGCGTGGAGAAACCGACTGCTGGTCGAGGTCGGCAGCGCGGCCACAACCGCTCAGTCTTCGTCTCTTCACCTGCCCTGGTATTTTCATCTTCCAGGAACATCACTGCAACTGAACCCTTCTTGCCAACCCTCTCTCTCTTGCCCCCGACTTCACTTTCCTGTATAAACAAAGACTCCTCTGCTGTCACCCTCTTTGGGAACACTCTATCTCTTTCTTTTTCCCTGAGGATATGACCTAAGTCCTCCTACCACAGAGCTGGGGGTGGGACTGGGGGTGGGGTGGGATTGGCTTTCTGCTTGCTCTCCAGTACTGCCTCCTAACCAAAACCATGTGCCACTGGGCTTTGCCCCCTTCATCCGCCTGTCTCCTGAGCTTTTCTCTACGCTCACTGCAGACTTTGACATTTGCTTTATAGACTTTCCCTCTCGACACTTAGTCCTGCCATCATCCTGGACAACTTTATCTTTCCTGTGGTCTTTACTATCCCCTCCACTCCACTTTAGCTGCCAATCCCATGGTCACAACCTGTGCCTGATCTTTGTCTAAGACTGGCCTATTTCTGTGCTCCTAAGCTTCAGAAGCACAGCTGTGGCCTTCCTCCTCCAACACAGACTCTCTCCCATGCACCTACTCCTACAGTTTCCAACCTCACACAGCTCTGGACTACTCCATTTTACCTTTTTATCATTTACTTCCCTCTGTGACCTAATTCTTGTAGTCATTATTTCAATTATTCTCTCTCCAGCAACCTTCTTGCTTATTTCTCCCTTGTATCCATCCAGCAAACCCTGCCTTGGAGGAAGTCTCCTAACCCAACTTCTCTAGTTCTATATATACTCGGTACTTGTGTATTGTTGGTAAAAACTGTATGGTTTTTCTGCCTGACAATCCTTAGGCAGCTTTAGGAAGCTTCCCCCATCTCCCTTTTTCTTTTTCATACCCTCCGCACTTCAACATCTTGCTCACTCTCAACAACAGGCCTTTATTTTTTCACTAAGAAAACTGAGGTTGTAAGGTAGGGAGTTCCTTAACTTACTCATTTGTGTTTGTGTCCATCTGGCTCCCATCTTTCCATCCTCCTCCTCTTGGGGAAAGAGCTACCAGTTCCTGTTTATTAAGGGTTTGGATCTGGTCCCCCAGCCCACCATCTTTATCCATCTCTTTACTCTAAGCCTATAAATGTGCTTACCCCTTTCCCATCTGAAAATGAAACCAAACTGAAACCCTTGCCACCATTCTATCTCCTTCCCTTCACAGGCAAGCCTCCTGCAAAACTAAGCCTGAATGAACCGTCTTCATTGTTTTACTTCCCGTTCTCTCCTCAGCCTTCTATAATCTGGCTTCTGCCCTATCATCATTCCACAATGAAATGCCGAGTCATTAATCTAGCTCCATGTGGACAAAACAAATTGGCGCTTCCCTTCTTCATTTTGCTTATCCTCCCTGAGCCATTTGCTCTGCTGGCTGTCCCTTCCTCCGTTAGCTTCTCCTGTATGTCTCTCTTCATTGCTGTCAAATCTTAAGTAGCTCCTTTCCTGTATTGGCTTCCTTTGGACTCTCATTGGCCAAACACCAGAATCTCTGGGTTTATTCTGTACCCTGCTCTTCCCGTTCTATGTGCTTTCCTTGGGTGACCTCATCTGCTCTTCTGGCTTCAATGACCAGAGACATATTGAAAATTCATATGCCTCTAGTTCTGTTCAGGCTTCACTTCTGAGTTCCAAACCATGTGCTCAGTTGTCCCGTGGATACCTCCACTTAAATATCCCTCAGGTACCTCAGACATAGTTTCATCCTAACAAAATCAATACCTTTTCAGCCAAACGTCTTCCCTCAGATTCTCTGTATTGTCATCATCCAGGATCCCAGCCTCTTTTCCTCATTTCTAGTCAGTCACCAACTTTAGTGAGATGAGGTGGTAGGGCTGGTTTCCAAGAGACACGCAGTGGATTGGGAGCTACTAACAGTGAGGACAACCATCTGGCAGAAATGCTGCTAGGGAGAGGGCCCAGTAAAGGAAGGGTGGCTATGGGTGATGCTTCCAATCTTGGGTAAATTTTACATAGCATCACCAGATGCTGAGGGTACTTGGAGTTCTCGAGGAAAAAGGAACAGAGCTTGCCTGTGCTGGAACAGGAATAGGGACAGAAAGAAGTCCAAAACAGTTAAGTTTGAAAGTAGGAGGGCATGTGTACCTGGACCTCTGAGGGGTAAGGAGGTTCCAAGTGAGGGGTAAGGAAGACTACTTTTGTGATGTCTTCTCAACCTGTTTTTTTCCTCAGTAGCCTCCAGGCTACTACCCCCACCCAAGTCTTGTTCCGAAAAGCAATTTTTTTTTTTTTTTTTTAAACGGAGTCTAGCTCTTGTTGCCCAGGCTGAAGTTCAATGGCGCGATCTCCGCTTACTACAACCTGCGCCTCCTGGGTTCAAGCAATTCTCCTGCCTCAGCCTCCCAAATAGTTGGGATTACAGGCACCCACTACACACCTGGCTACTTTTTTGTATTTTTAGTAGAGACAGGGTTTTACCATGTTGGCCAGGCTGGTCTGGAACTCTTGATCTCAGGTGATCCACCCGCCTTGGACTCCCAAAGTGCTGGGATTACAGGTGTGAGCCACTGTACCCAGCCCTGAAAGAAAATCTTATTTAAGCTGTTGGCTCTAGTAACTTTTGGACATCAAGTTAAAAATTTCTTAGTTTCTCAAACAAGGTCCCTCAGAATATAGTCCCTGTTTGCTATCTACGCCCATCTCTTGCTACTGCATACACATTATTTTTGCTCCAGCCACATGGAAGTTCTTCCAGTCTTCTAAAAACATTACAACTTCATCCTTAGAATGTCTGTCTCACCCACTCTTCCCCAGGCTCATTCATTCTTCCATTTCTGCTTGTCCTTCAACACTCAGTTCAAGCACCATCTCCCAGAAGCCTTTCACAAGCCCGATCTGATTTTGTCTGGGCTATCTTGGTATCCTAAAGGATAGGATCCACAAAAATATCATTTACCACACCTCACTGTAATCCATTAAGTTGCCTCTCTTCCCCAGTAGACTGGGTACTTCATGAAGGCAGGTCTCAGTCTATCTTGTTTGCTATCCCCAATGTCTGGCACTTGATATTACTTACTCTTTTCTTTCTTTCTTTTTTCTCCTTCCTTCCTTCCTGCCTTCCTTCCTTCCTTCTCTTTCTTTCTCTCTCTCTCTCTTTCCTTTCTTTCCTTCCTTTCTTTTGCTCTGTCACCTAAGATGGAGTGCAGTGGTGCCATCCTGGCTCACTGCAACCTCGACCTCCTGTGCTCGAACAATCCTCCCGCCTCAACCTCCTGAGTAGCTGGGACTACAGGTGCAGGCCACTACCCCTGGCTAACTTTTTTTTTTTTTTGTAGAGATGGAGTTTCACCATGTTGCTCAGGCTGGTCTCGACCTCCTGTACTCAAGAGATCCGCCAGCCTCAGCCTCCCAAAGTGCTTGGATTACAGTCATGAGCCACTGCGCTTGGCCGGCACTTGATACTTTTAAATAAATAGTTATTAACCGTGAAACTTTTAAAGTTTAAGCAATAGGCTGTTTAACCTGGAAGACTTTTAACATTTAAACAGCAGACCATTTAATTGTGGCATTTCACATGCTACACCAGTGTATGGAGCTCCTGGTGGCCAGTGCAATGTTGCTGACCCATTTGGCAGTGGGAAAATCCGGGCATCCAGGAGTGCATTTCTAGGAGGTATCTCCAGCCCTCACACCAATCTCAAACTGCCTGTCATCTGCAGAACCCACTAGATCAGCGCGCTTCTGGCCTTGACCCACTTGGTGGTTAACTACAGCCACTAAGAGGTGGGCAGATAGATACTTTTGGTAAGTGGTCTTTGGGTTAGGGAGTGCATGGGTTATGCCTGTCTAGATGGGTGTGTTTTTGTGTGTGTGCATGGGCGGGGGAAGGGAGGAAGGAGGCCGAATGTGCATCCCTTCTACAGGGACGCCTTTCCAGACCTCCTTATTAGATGGCGTTCACCTCCTCACCCTCTCTCAGTCCCTTATTCTCCTCTTACACCGATCACGACTTGATTAATGCCTGTCTCCCAGCTAGGCCGCCAGCTGCACGAGGTAAGGAACCGAAGGCATTTCGGTTCTCCCTGGCAATCCCCCTCCTCAGAAGGATGCCTGAGGCATAACAAGTGTTCCAGAAATATTTATTCCGCAACCGCTCTGGGCCAGTCTGGATGGACCCGGCGCCCGCTGGGCTGGGGGCCCCCGGCCGGCACTGACGCCCCGCCCACCACCGGCCGGCCCAGGCGGGGCGGGGCGCGGCCGGGCGCTCTCGCGGGGACCGTTCTCCGGCTCGCGTGGGCGATGCCCGGGCAGGGAAGCGGGAGGGGACGACGGGACGCGAGGTAGCGGCCTGGCCAATGAGCGCGGGTCGGGCGGGGCTCGGGGACGGCGGCCTGGGCGCGCGCGGGGCTGGGCGTGCCGCGGGTGACGGCGGGGCCGGGCGGGCCAATGGGCGCTGGGTGGCGGGCGGGCGGGCCTGGCTGCCGGGGGCTTTAGGACGTGAGCGGGCGGCCGGCCGGACAGACTTACGTGTGAGCTGCATCGCGGGAGGCGCATGGCGGGGATGGCGCTGGCGCGGGCCTGGAAGCAGATGTCCTGGTTCTACTACCAGTACCTGCTGGTCACGGCGCTCTACATGCTGGAGCCCTGGGAGCGGACGGTGTTCAGTATCCTGTCCGGGTCGCGGGCGCGGGGGCCGGGTTGGGGGCGCGGGCCGCGGGGCAGCAGCTCCCAGGCCCGGGGCCTGGGGTGGAGGTTGGAGCGGCGGCCCCGCGGGTCCTGTGCGCGGAAGCCGAGGAGTCGGGGGGCAGGGGGAGGTCTGGGGGCCTAGGGCCGGGCTTGCGGGGTTAAGTGGGAGGTGGGGGAGGCGAGAACTCTTGAGATCCGGAGTCACCCGTGAGTCGCTGGACCCAAGGAGGAAGCGTCTTGATTCCTGGAGAAAATCTCCGAGGGTGATGTGTAACCCAGTGTGTCGCCTGCACTTCGGCCGCGCCTGCCTTTGGTTCAGTCCCCTGTTCCTGTAGGAGGCGGGGATCATGTAACAGTGGAGTACATCGCTCCCGGCTTGGACGCCGTTGACCTTTAAGTGTTCCTGATGTAGTTGGCTTTGGGTCTACCAAGAATTCTAACCAGTTAACCAGCTTTTAAGCCAGATTCTGAATTTGTAGGCATGACACTCCAGTAGTTTTTGACAGCAGTTTAAGTTATTGTATCTTTTTGGTCTTCAAGGTGGGGAGTTTTAAAAGTATATTGCTTCTTTGCACCGTCCGTAGAAGTCGGCCTGAAAAGTGGTGCAATTTGCGGTTAGTTGTCGGTAGGGTTTGAAACTGTTGTGGTGGATAGTTAGTAAATTATTAATGACTGTTGAGTGGTTACTATAAGCAAAGCATTTGTGCAAAGCACATTTTCTGTATCTTAACTCATCTAACTTTGAGAACTTCAATTAATAACTCAGGATTGTGAAGATAGGCTCCCTGAAAGTCTGATGTTTCTTGTCTCTACTTGTCCATATTGACATCCTTTGATGATATTCTTGCAGATTGAATACTGATAATGAATGAGATGTAACTTTTTACAAACTCAGGCCAATACGAAACAGATATTTCGCAAAACATGTTTAGTTTATCCACGTTCTCTCCTTTTCAGTGTGGTTTAGTTGGAGTAGCTTACTTCAGAACAACTTTGCGAATGCATTGTTGCATTCCAGTGAGTGACTGAGGTAATTTCATTCCAAGCCTTATCAAGTGTGTTTGTTTTGAAATAGCTTAAGGTTGTACTCAAAGCTGAGTCTTTTGTTACAGCACTTTTGAAGAATTTGAGATGCTTTCAAAGCAGTTTATTTATTAGGAATTTAAGAACCAGAATGCATATTTTGGATTTAGACACTGAAGATAGTTTGCTTTGATTTCCTGCACCATTTATTTGTAGCTGCACTTTAGTCTCACTCTTTAGGGCTCACAGGGCCATGCCTTGTAAAATACATACTTAAATGTATATTTAATAGAAGTCTCTCTGTAGAAGCAAGCGTATCTTGACTCACATAACACATCCTAAAATTAAACAATGCTGGGTTACATTGAAGCTCTTTAAATCAGAGATTGAATGTAGAGTGCACTATTAGAATATAGTATAGATTTTACACCTAAAAGCTTTTACACCTAAAATCTAATATAGATTTTACACACTAAAATGCTACAGTTATCAATGATGTTAAGATTTTTCTGTTATGTTGCAATAGTGATAGTATCCTATAAAGAACTAGGTGATGGCTTTTTGGGGGTATGGAGAAATAAATTATGAAATGAAATTCAGTGCCTTAGTAGATATTTGCCTTTAATGGTTTTGAGTTACCATTGGTTTAGCAACCAAGTAGTTTCAAATTTTTTTTTCAAATAGGTGACACCTGCAACCAACTGACATCCAGTATTATAGAACCTTATGATTTTAAACTTGAGATTAAAAAAAGTCTTATTTCAAATTTCATGTTATTGGGGTTAGAAATGCAATTATTTGACATAAGCCAGTCTTGAATTACTATCAGCTGTTATATTTATATTTTTCCACTTCAACTTCTAGAATCATTTAAAATTATTTGGTAGTTTGGAACATCAATTTGAGATTGAATCCTCGTTTTAGCTTGACGGAAGAACTGAATAAGAAAGCTGGATTTTTTTTCCCCCAACTTGTCAGGAGGCTTACTGTCAAGTACTTTGAATTTCATAAATCCATTAACGATTAGTAAGCTTCACCCAGAACTATTTGTGGCCAGCTACATGATGTTAAAGGAAAGAGGCATACTTTCTACAGCTTAAACATTACATTCAACTTAATCATCAATCCTAGAAACCTAAAATTTAGAGAAATTTGCCTCTGCCGGTCTGAAAATTGGTGTCTGTCTGAGTTAGAAGTCCTGAACAGAGTAAGACTTTAGATTGATTTCTTTTCTCTCTCTCTCTCTCTCTCTCTCTCTCTCTCTCTCTGTCTCTGTGTGTGTGTGTGTGTGTGTGTGTGTGTGTGTGTGTGTGTGTGATGGAGTTTTGCTCTTGTTGCCCAGGCTGGAGTGCAATGGCACGATCTCAGCGCACTGCAACCTCCGCCTCCCAGGTTCAAGTGATTCTCCTGCCTCAGCCTTCAGAATAGCCAGGATTACAGGTGCCTGCCGCCACGCCCGGCTAATTTTTGTATTTTTAGTAGAGATGGGGTTTCACCACATTGGCCAGGCTGGTCTTGAACTCCTAACCTCAGGTGATCTGCCCGCCACAGCCTGCCAAAATGCTGGGATTACAGGCATGAGCCACCATGCCTGGCCAGATTAATTTTCTTTTTTTTTTCTTTTTCTTTTTTTTTGAGATGGAGTCTCTGTCGCCCAGGCTGGAGTGTGGTGGTGCAATCTTGGCTCACTGCAACCTTTGCATCCCGGATTCAAGCAATGCTCCTGCTTCAGCCTCCCAAGGTAGCTGGGATTACAGGTGCCCACCAACACGCCCATCTAATGTTTGTATTTTTAGTAGAGCCAGGGTTGGGGGTGGGGTGGGGGAGTGGTTTTACCATGTTGGCCAGTCTGGTCTCAAACTCTGACCTCAAGTGATCTGCCCACCTTGGCCTTCCAGAGTGTTGGGATTACAGGCGTGAGCCAACGCGCCTGGCCCAGATTAATTTCTTAAAGAGGATAGGTGCATTAGTTTACATTTCCTTGCTATATAATGCCTTTTTAAAAATTTGAAGTTGTGGGCCTAGTGCGGTGGTGGGTGCCTGAAATCCCAACTACTTGGGAGGCTGAGGCAGGAGAATCGCTTGAACCTGGGAGGCGGAGGTTGCAGTGAGCCGAGATCACGCCACTGCACTCCAGCCTTGGTGACAGAGCAAGATTCCATCTCAAAAAAAAAGAAAAAGTTGTAATTTCAGGGGAAATTGATAACGTACTATCACTGTACTTTCCAGGGGCATCCTTGAGCATCTGAATGGATGTTTAGAAATTCTTTGCTTCTTGACTTCCCAAATCAAATAGCTAGAAGTTAGTTAAAACCTGTTGTAAATTGAAAGTCAATCTCGGCCGGGCACGGTGGCGGTTCACCAGCCTGGCTAACATGGTGAAACCCCATCTCTACAAAAAAAAAAAAAAAAGCCGGGTGTGGTGGCGCACGCCTGTAGTCCCAGCTACTTGGGAGGCTGAAGCAGGAGAATCGCTTGAACCCAGGAGGCAAAGGTTGCAGTGAGCTGAGATCGCGCCACTGCACTCCAGCCTGGGCCACAGAGCAAGACTCCATCTCAAAAAAAAAAAATGTCAATCTCAGGTCTGGTGCGGTGGCTCACACCTGTAATCCCAGCACTCTGGGAGGCCGAGGTGGGCAAATAGCTGAAGTCCAGGAATATGAGACCAGCCTAGGAAACATGGCAAAACTCTGTATCTACTAAAAATGCAAGTATTAGCCGGGTGTGGTAGTGCACGCCAGCTACTTCGGTGGCTGAGGCACCAGAATCTCTTGAACCTGGGAGACGGAGGTTGCAGTGAGCTGAGATGACACCACTGCACTCCAGCCTGGGTGACAGAGCGAGACTCCGTCTCAAAAAAAAAAAAAAATTGCAATTTATAAAAAAGATTTTAAGATGTGTTTTTAAGGAAAAGCCTCTATTGGGTCAAGTCAGACACATTGTAAATAGTTCTTGAAACAGTGAGATTTATGAATAAGTTTTGTAAATTCTTCCTCACTAGGGCCTATATGCTAAGTTTTCTTTTACCATCTGTCTTGTCTTTTCTTTCTTTGTATTTTTTTTTTGAGACAGTCTTGCTCTGTCACCCAGGCTGGAGTGCAGTGGTGTGATCTCGGTTCACTGCAACCTCTGCCTCTGGGACTTAGGCGATTCTCCTGCCTCAGCCTCCTGAGTAGCTGGGACTACAGGCCGTGCCACCATGCCCAGCTAAATTTTTGTATTATTAATTGAGGTGGGGTTTCACCATGTTAGCCAGGCTGGTCTTGAACTCCTGACCTCAAGTGATCCACCCACTTCAGCTTCCCGAAGTGCTGGGATTGATTATAAGCATGAGCCGAGATGCCCGGGCTACCATCTGTCTTCTAATAAGACATTTGAAGTGATACATTAGCGTTTGGTTTGTCAAGGAATATTTGAACTTTTTCCACGTGCAGACATGTTTCTATCTTACAGAGAAATGGGACATGACACCTGCATTAAGACAAAAGATAACAATAAAAAAGAATCTGGTAAGTGCTAATTAGTATTACAGTATGTACTACAAAAGGAGACCTACCATAGACTGAGAACCACTTACCTCATCTCAGGAGGAGACATTTTTAACAGACGTTTCAAAAGTTTCCTTTCCCTACCGGCATCCAAAGGTGGGAAAGAAAAGACCAGGTTTTGGCCAGGCGTGGTGGCTCACGCCTGTAATCCCAGCACTTTGGGAGGCCGAGGCGTGCAGGTCACAAGGTCAGGAGATTGAGACCATCCTGGCTAACACAGTGAAACCCTGTCTGTACTAAAAATACAAAAAACTAGCCGGACATGGTGGCAGGTGCCTGTAGTCCCAGCTACTCGGGAGGCTGAGGCAGGAGAATGGCGTGAACCTGGGAGGCGGAGCTTGCAGTGAGGCGAGATTAAGCCACTGCACTCCAGCCTGGGCGACAGAGGGAGACTCCGCCAAAAAAAA